CGGTGTCCTGACTCCCAGGTCCTGCTTTAACTGCCCTCTGCTCCCAACTTTTCCCCACACTGGAGCCAGAGATGCCTTTTAAAATTGCGAATATGTTCACTTCACTCCCCTGCTCAAAATCCTGCATCTAAGGGACAGTTTCTGCAAATTATTCAGGTGTGAGAGCACCTGGATGGCGGACTCTTCTCAGAAGGCCATGAAATACTTGATCTATTAAATGTCATCAGATGAAATAAAACACTGTTTCAAAAGAACACTTCTGCTAGCAGAAAACATGTCTACATTATGTGTGTGCAATGGGAAATTATAGCCACGAGCACAGATGTCCATGCAAAAGTAAACAGTTGAGTGAAGCATGGATCAGTACCGGGATTCACTGTTTAATATTCATTGGCTACTTGTTTATTCATTTTGTGGCTTGCTAGCAGATAAGCAGAAGCATCTGTTAAAGATTTAGGGAAAATTTATGGTTTTAAAAAAAGTTAAAATAGAGGAATTTCTACCCATTAACTGATCTTTTGTTTTCACGGCAAACCTCCATCCCATTTACACTGGGCATGGTTCCAGATCTAACAGACATTATCCCTGGAGAGCACAGCTTGAGCACCCCTACCCTGGAGCATATAGCTGAAGTTCTTTGGCAAGACCGACACAACCCTTCCAGATCTGACCCCCTCTTATCTTCCAACCCTACTCCTCTACCCCTACAACGGCCTGGGGGTTCCCTAAATATTCTCTGATCTTTGTGTGTGCATATGCTTTTACATGTGCTGTTTGCTCCCACACCATGACACAATAAATTACAGTAAGTCCGCACTTTATGTTGTTGACAGTGTCTTGGAAACTATAACTTTAAAGCAAAAGGATGCACCATGAAACCTGGTCTTGGAATAAGGTTGCTTCATTCAACATTGCCTATGGGATTTAGACGTTGTACCAAAAGGCTGGCGAATGAAATAACTTTATTTGAGGAGCTGCTATACTGCTCAGTCAAGACTCAATCCAAATTATGCTTTTTTACTCTCAGAGTTTCTTCTTCCCCAGGGTCTTGCTCGGTTGTTTATGTCTCTGATTATGTTACTGATTGTGGAGCTCTCTGGCAACTGGCCTGGGAGCTCCCTCAGGTTATGGTACGGGTTTTTGTCCCCCAGTGTTTCTGGATTCCTCTGGCATTTTTTTTAAAGGTTTATTTATTTGTGCATACAGAACTGGGGTACAGGCCAGAGACTCAGGGGTGGCGAAAGACTTCACCAGAGACAGCGTGGGGAGTAGAACAGGCAGATCGATGAAGTACACTGCTGAGCAGCGGGAGGGTCAGGAGAGGTGTGCCGCGCCATGTGGTCACCTCTGGGGCAGGCGGGAATCGAACTCATGCACAAGTGGTTTCAGCTTCTTAGTGTAGTGCTTTAACCCGCTGCGCCACCAGGGAGGGCCTCCTCTGGCATTTTGCACCTTTTTTGGGTGCGCCACCAGGGAGGGCCTCCTCTGGCATTTTGCACCTTTTTTTGGTGTCCTTTCCCTAAGCCCAGCCAGTTGGTAGGTACACTGTAGAAATCTAGCAGGGTAGCTCAGGCTGCAAACCTTCCCCTGGATAACCCACCAAATCTTACATTCTCATGGCCCATTTCTCCAGGACTAGATTTTCAGATAAGCCAGTGGTTCTAAAACTTTAGCATACAGTTGAATTCCCTGAAACACTGTTCAAACAGATTGCTGGGTTCCAGTCCGGGTGGGGGGCAAAAATTTGCATTCCCAGGCAAGGGGGAATGATGCTAGACAGAGGTCGCATTTTGAAAACCACTGGAATAAATTAAAGTAAACGCAGGGGACAGCAGGTTAATCATGTAGAAAGGAATCCTTGGTTCATCTGGACTCAGCCCCTTCACTGAGTTTCTGATTCTATCAGCACTGTCTGGATTTGGTTAATTCCAGAGAATTTTCTCTCTGCTTCACCTCATCCTCCTCCAACATTTTTATCTTACTTTTCAAGTTGTTCTTGGAGCTTCTCCACTTTAGAGCAACTTTATTATCCTTCTCTTTGTCCTTGTAAAAAACCATGGTTTCAAAGCAAAACCCAGCAAAGCTCTTAGCTCCATTTCACTACCCTTTTCCTCTTCTCTGCCTCCTTCCATATGCCACCCCCCCCTTTCAGTCTCACACTCCCTATCCCTGTACTAAGAGTGACTTTCTAAAGCTTGGCTCCGGTTAGGGGCCACTCTTATCTAGCAGGGTAGCTATTTCCCCTCCTTGGGGAGTCTAGTTCCACAAACAACATTAGCATGCTGATGACAGTCACCTGCTGGCTCTGGGAAGTCACTGCTTGATCCAGCTTCCTTAAGGACAGTGGAAACACTGACAACACCACATTACATGCTTCCGTTCATTCACTCCACAAACTGATTGAGTACTGGCCAGGCACTGTGCTGGACCCAAGGGACCCCATCAGGACACATTGAACATAAATGCATGTTTATGGCCATCCTGGAGAGCCTGCAACATCACTTTACAAAAGGGATCATTTAACCCCACCCATCAGCAGGGGCAGACGCTAAAGAAGGAAATTAACCACTTACCTGTCTTCTGTCTCTGCTGTGCCTGGGCAGGTGACCCAGGAGCAGGAACTAGAAGACACTGACCCAGCAAGCTTCCAAACCTCTTTGTTGCAATGAGCCTTACCATCCATACATCTCAGTTACTGGTCCACTGCAGCAAGTAAGGTATAGTACCTAAAACTCAAACACAACACAGTGAACTAAAACCCCTCTGCATAGTCACACACCACAACTGACATACACAAGCTGATGCACACAAAATGACCCCTACACCAACACTCATATAACATCAGGGACATATACACAGCAACACACAACACAGTCATGCCAACACACACTGAAAACACACACTGACACACACATCCACAACGAAGCACTGAAACTCACATACCCTGGCAGATACACGGACACATACAAACGCACACGTACTCACACATCAACACCAGCCCACACCACTAAGAAACCAGAGATCTAGACCCCAAGACCGGCTTGCAGCCTCAGGCCTCAGGTCTTGAAGGGACTGAAGGGCTGCATGCAGAACACTTTAATTACACACTCAACCCCGAGCGCCCGGGTGCAGCCTTTTGGCGAAAGAGGCCTGGGGAGGTCCTGAGAGTCTCCGGAATCCTGAGAGTTCCCAGGAACAGGAGGGCGGAGTGGGGCACACGGGCGCCCCTACCCAGAGTACCCTCCCTCGCAGCGGGAAAGTGCGGAGAGCTTCAGTCAGAGCGCGGCAGCCTCCCGGTGCGCTGCCGGCAGGCAGATTCCCTGCGAGCCCAGGCAGTCCGCCAGCCTGTCTCTGCCGGGCTTTTCCCCGGTCTTGCAGACGCTCTGGGTAGCTGCTCTCAGCTCAAGCTTTCAAATGTGCACCTCCTGTCGGGCCACCATGCACGCCCCAGGTCCAGATTAGAGTTAGTGGCCTCAGCCCTACCCGTTCACCACACTCCAGCCTTTGCCAGGGAAGACCTGTCTCTCTCCCAGACACCCAGCCCAGACGTGGCTAAGTCACCTCTGACCCCCTCCCCCATCCGGTCTTGGCTAAATCATACAACGATTCTTCAGATACATCCCTGGGCCCCGCGCCACTGGTACTCGATTAACCAGCCCAGCGGCTCTCCCAAGACCCTGCCCGCCTCAGAGACTTTAGTCACCCCCCTTCCCTGCCACCACCAACTGCCTGGCAGGTTTGCTGTGTGTCTCACAACTCCCTGGCACCGGTCCTTAATAGTTCCAGACTCTTCCTTTTAGTCCCACCTGGATCTCCAGCACAATGATACGTGTACGGCGGTGGGAACACCCCAACACTCGGCTTTTCATCGAAGGTCCCTAAAGCTATCCTCAAACTAAATCTTTTCTTTCGAGGTTCACCTGCCCCTTTTAGGAGTGGAGTGGAGCATCTGGACCGCTCTGGCCTGGCACACCACAGAATGGACTGGGGCTGGCTAGTCACAGGGAGCTGGGAAAGGGCCATTCCCAGGAGATGGAGTCGAGGGGTGCTAGGCTGGGGAGGTGGAGATGTGCAGAGGACTGGGGAGAGGACCCGCCATCTCGATTGGTCCTGAGGAAAGGGAGAGCGGGTGAACAGAGTCCCCACCTTCGGAGGTTCTCCCCTCTGCGCACCGACAGTCACCCGGTCACGAACAGATGGAAGGTGAAAGGGAAATCAGCCTCCCCCCCCAACCCCGCCCCCACCTCGAACAGAGCCACAGGAGGACGCTCTTGGTCACTCCTCACCATCCCGCTAGACAGCGGGATGGAGGGGGGACTTTCACACCACAAATCCTTTTCCAGAGGGAAGTCTGAGCCTGGTGGGGAGAGTAGTGGGGTCCCTCTGTAGGAAGTGTCCAAAGGTGGTGAACCCGTCTCCAGGAAATTACAGCCCATAGCGCCCGAGGCATGGAAACCCCAGGGCCGAAAGGGAGCCTTGTCTCAGGACTGCTGGCCTCGGACTCCACATGTCAGAGCTCAGGAGCGGGGCCGCACTGCGGCTCCCCCCTCCAATAGTCCCCTGTCTAAGCTCCACAGTGGAGCGGCAGGTGCCGCTGCACCCCAACCCCCCCCCACCCCCCGACCTCAGCTGCACTCTGGGACCACGGGGTGGGGGCGCGGAGAGGTGTGGTGGAACATCAGGACTCCAGTGGCGGGCGCTCCCATAAAAGCACCCTGAAATCTCGGTGGAGAGCACCAGGGGGTTCACGGGGCGGGGAGGAGAGAGGAGTACTGCAGAGCTCGGCCGCCAGGCTGTGCGCGGCAGGGGGGAGGGGCGGGGGCTCCCTTCCAGGCTCTGGGGTCTGGGGACTCGGGGATGTAAGGCGAGAGCAGGGGGGTGTGACAATTCAGCAGAGGTCGGGATGTACCACGGAGCCCAGTGGCGGGGGGGCAGAGGACGTGGTCACCGAGGGGAGCCCCCGCCCCCCTTGGCAAAGGCCTATGGCTGAGGTTGCAGGGAGAACTGGAAGTGGGCTCGCGGTAGGGGGAAGCGGCGGGTTAAATCCGCTCCTCCCCACACTTCACTTCCGAGGGGTGAGCGGGAGAGGGGAGACTGGGGTTGGAGCGGCGGCTAGGGGGCCCCTCCCTCGCACCTCCCCCCACCGGACTTGGTCGCGCCCGAAGTGTAACACTTTCTCTTTGTCGGAGGAGCTCCGCTGTTTCCTGTGCTGTAGCTCCCGTTGCGGCGGCGCCCGTGGCAGCCCTGGCGGACGCAGGAGCGATGGCAGCGACCGATATAGCTCGCCAGGTGGTGAGTGAGGGGCCGGGGTGCGGGCGCCGGCGCGGGGGGCCCCGGGGAGGGCGGAGGGGACCTGGCTGTGGGCGCCGCCGCGGCGAGCAGGGCAGCGGGCAGCCTCCGGGAGTCCGGGCACCGCGGGACTTCTGCCCCCGAGGTCAACCGCTCGGGCCCCCAGCCGGTCCCCGAGAACAGTGGGGCGGCCGGGGCGGCCTCTGCAAAGGCTGCGGGCGGGCGGCAGAACTTGCCTTGCCCAGAGCTGCAGTGGGCGCCGCCGCCCGCCTCGCTCGCTGCAGCAGCGGCCGGCGGCTGGGGCGTTGCCGAATGAATGGCCGCACGAGCTGCCGAGCCCTCGGGGTCCCGGGCGCCGCGGCCGGGTTCGCTCTGACCGCGGGGCCGCGCCCCTGCGCACCGCTGCGGGTGGGCACCGGCTGCGTCCTGGAGGAGGGGCGCCGGGCTGGGGTGAGCCTGGGGCAGGAGGCGGTGAGCGGTGAGGGGGGGCGGGGAGGTGACTGGCTGGGTTGGGGCTTCTCCATATGCATTACATATGTGACTGCGCCTGTGTGTGCATCGCTGTGTGCGTGTGAGAGCACGCGCGCGCGCTCGTGCCTCCCCGGGCCGGCGGCGGCGCCCGGGTCGTCGGTGACCCCGGAGGAGTGCGCCAGTTGCTCCGAGTGGGCTCGCCGCCCTGCGGTGTGTCCGGACGCCGCTGTCTGCTCGTGCTGTGTGACTCTGGGGCCCGCTTGTGCGCTTGTGTGGGGTTGCAGTTCGCCGGCCTGTAGGTGGCTGCTTGTGTCTTTTGGCATATTTCTGAGCACCTGACCCGGGTTTTGCGGGCTTCTGGGGGGGGGGTCTGTGTTTTGGGCGCGTGCTCAGTGTAGCTGGGCTTGTGTGCCAAAACCTGTGGAACTGTCTTCTGTCTATGGGGACTCAGGAAAATTAAGTGTGAGGCTTGCAAAAGAGGTACCTTCTCTCTTTTTGTTGGCAACAAACTGGGGGGGGGGAATCTTTCTTTGAAGAACTGAAGTTTTCCAGCCTGGCATGTGCAGAGAAATCATACTGAAGTGACCCGAGGCTTCATATTTGTTTCTTTAGATCAGAAGTTGGGTTGAAAAGAGAAGGGATGACTCCCTTTGGGGGAAACAATCTAGCCTTTCTATTCACTGGAGGGTATCTGGGATTTTAAGTAGCCATGACCATTAGCCTGAGGTAAGGAAAGGTAGTAAAGGTAGGTCAAGCTTCTTGACACCAAAGACTGGTTGCTGAACATTCCTGAACGTCAAAAAAAAAAAAAAAGGTTAAAACCTTGTGGCTCACTTATTTAGGAAAATAGTCCATATGCAATACAGTTGCAGTAGGAAAAAAAATGTAGCCTTTAGGTGTTTGGTTTAATTGAAATTGATTTCTTTTCAAAATCTGAATCTAGAATCCGGTAGTATTTCCTGTACAGAATATGTGTAAATCCATTCCCCCCTCTTGTCGCTGTTGGGAATGGCAGGGTTATTTCTCCATAACCTCCCAACTCCCTTCTTGCCAAAGCTGGCACAGGGCTCCTTATGCTGCCCTGGGGTGGAAGGACCAGGAATAGATAGGAGTCAATGCTCTGTGTAATGGAATTTGAGAAAATTCTCTCTGCTTCCTAAAGACTAGCACTGTAATATTTATTGCTTGAGTGTTTTGAGGGTTCCCAGAGAGCTATTTTGCTCCTTGCTTGTTACCTGTATCTTAGAGATGGCATGACTTAAGAGGAATTAGTCTCCTGGATTATACTTGCTCCTTCTTTAGTGACCAGATGTGACTCTAGTGATTTATCTTGTCAGCTAATGAATTTGCATTGATCTGTTCATATTCTCTCACCAGTTCCCTTTGCCTGGATTAGGACTGCAGGGCAGATGCTGCAAAAGGGAATATTCCAGAAGGTTGCATTTCACCTCTGGCACAACTCAGTTAATTGTAAGGTCCCCTTTGTTTTGCAGAGAGGGGTCGAGGGTAGTTTTAGGACTCCCTGGTTGATTTTAGGGGTACCTGTTTGCTTTACCTGGTTCCCGTAGGGCTCTGGCTGGCCTGGCCAGAGTAAGATGAAGAACATAATTAGGTACCAGATTCTGAAGCTGAAAGAGAAGCCCAAGCACTTGAAACCCTGTTATCATGATAAATAGGTTTCTGGGAAAACTGACGTCACTCTCCATGCCCCCTCCTCCTCCAGCTAGTGAAGCTCTTGTTTATGTGTTATTTGTTTCTCTGCTCTCCTTTGTGTCTGCAAGTTGTAATTCATTAGGGAAAGATGGAATTAACTTAGGAGACCTTGGATGTCTGGTTGCTGCTTATTTCTTCCTAGGAACATATATCCTCGGTTTGAGAAGAGAAGACTGGAGAATAAACAGGAGTGTGCCTGGCTTAAGAGTTCTTTTTAATGAGCAGGGAGACCTGGTGCCATCTGTCCAAGTTGTGCTCTGCACTGCCTTTGGGGCAGGGGGAGGGGGAGGAGGATGTCCTTCTCAGAGTTAGTTAAGGGTCACTCTGGCTGGTGAGGTAACATCATTAGTGACTAAAGCAGGCCTTCAAGTTGTTGGACAGGGCCAGTATTTGGATCTGTTGGAAACTCAGCTAATGTATACATAACACAATCCCATCCTGTTTGAATGAACTCCACAAAGATTCTGTATGACAAAACTATTTCTCCATTATGCCCATGAATGCTTATTTCATGGACGAGTAAGTGTCTTGCACTGTGACTGGACTTGATCAGTTATACTAAAAAATTAAAGCGGTGCACTAACTTCTTGGTGTCTAAGCTTATAGTCTTGTTGGATCATGGTGGACACTGTGAAATAGTTAGAGAATTATAGAAGCTCCTGGAGATTCTCTTACCTGCCACGTCTAGCCTGTGAGGTGGTCTGGGCTGCTTTTCTTACTCTGCAAGGTTATGGGACTTATCCAAGGTAACAGCCAGGCACAGTGCACACCCTGGGGGTGGTGGCTTCTGGCTCTTGCACTGAGCTGTTTCTTTCAGTGCTGCATTTTGGGGTCCTGACTGAAGTGCCAACCCATAGAAAGAACAGCTCGTTGATTCTGGCTTGGTCTAATCCTACCATGTGGACCATGATATTTCCTCCACTGGCAGCTAGTTTAATGGCCGTTCTCCCTCACAAAAAGCTAATAGGAGCTAATTAACTTTGTCTTAGCGGTGCTGGGGCGACAGTCTCAAGACAATTGTTCAATTGTTCGCAGGTAGGCAGAGGCCGGCTGCTGCTCTCCGGCTGTGCTAGCAGAGGGCACTTGGGCTTGGGTCCCCTTGACACTGCCTACCTCAGCCATTTCTATGATGTCACACTGAAAGTAATAGAACCCCTAGCAGTGGGGGAAAAACCCACTTCCGATCCATACCTCTGCTGGCAATACAGCACTGAAGAAAAGTTACATGGTTCCAGATATTAAAAATTCTTGCATCTAAGTCGAGGGTAAATGGGCAATCATTGTATTATTTTCCAGTTGGTGTGTGTGTTTGAGGCTTTTCCAAATAAAAACCTGGGAGAGATTGTACCCCTCCCCATTTATGTATGTGATGTTCTCTCAGGGAGTTCACAGTCTAATTGTAGAGGCAGACCAAATAACCACTTAATTATCGTTTGTGATGACGGCTGCCCTAGAGCACCACAGTCACTCAGGCTTCATTACAAGAGGGTCTGATCCAGCAGTGGTTGTGGGGGGTGGAGGATGGGGAAATCCTCCTGAGGCCTTCAACTAAGAAAGGGCTAGGTGTGATGGCGGGTGGAATGTGGCTTCTGCTACTGGGCTGGGAACGTTTCATTGGTTAATGCACCCATATGTATGCTCAAACATTCCTTCAAGATGCATGTATTGGGCACTGGTGCTGCCAGGCCCTATGCCAGATGTTGAAGATAGAATGGTGGCCATGGCATACAGGACTCTGTGCTCTCAGTGCTTCTAGGTGAAAGGCAGGAGCAGCCATGTTCTCTTTTCTTATCCCAAACCCTGGAAATGTGAGCGTTATGGTGCTCTTCTTACAAAACAGCCTTCCAGCCAAGTGATTTGTCTGCATTGTATAATGGGATTTTGATCTGCTGTCGTGTGCATAGCATTTACTTTGTGGAGTCTCTGCTGTAAATTTTGTTAATTGCTGGCTTTGTTACCCTGCAGGCCCCTCCCTCTGTGTGCTGTAAGGGAGCAAACGGGTTGCACTAGCCTGAGCAAAACTAATTAGGAAAGCAAGGCTCCTGAAATAAGGTATTCCCAAACAAAACAGGAGTGGTCTCTGGCCTTGTCTGAAGTTCTGGATTATTCAGAAGAATGGACATGAAGATCACGTCCCAGAAAGAAAGGCAAGAGGGTGAAAAGGAAAGAAAGAGAACGAATGTAATGAATGAGGGCAACATGTTTCTTTCAGTGACCTCAAAATGCTTTCACATTGGTGTGATGTCACTTTTCCTGATAGCGTCCCAGGCCAGGTATTCTTACTTTGTACACTTGATTGGGGGGAGGGATGTCCAGTGACTTGGTCCAAAATGCTGTTGGTCAGTGGATACAACAACGAGATTCCTGCGTCTGGTCTTTTCATGATGCTTCTAAGGAGTAAAAATCCTGTTACATCCTCTCTTCTCCCTCTTTTCACTGTGTCTCCCCCCACCTGTGCTCATGGGGGTCAGAGAAGCGTATACTTGGGTGCTGTGAAGACTCTCAGATGTTAAAAAGAATCTCAGCTTAAATCCCAGATAGCACAGTCACGGGTCTTGTGTGGGTTTTCTTTCTTTCTTTTTTTTTTTTCCCCCATATTGCTTTAAAGAAAAATCTTGGAGCCACCAGCCATGTCATGATGGATTATTTTAAGTAACAACTGGAGGGGGGCAGAATAAATTAGAAACACAGACCCTTCCTCCTCACTTTGGCAGGCGGAGGCTTCTGCCGCTGGGACTTGAAGCCGTGGGTTTCTCTGCCTCCTGCACAGAGGAAGGAGGCCACGTGCCCAGGAGGGTGAGAAATAATGTTATCCTCTT